CCTTCTCCTGGTCCCCCCTTCTCACCTGGAGAGGTGACAGGGAACTCTACCAGCTCAGAGACCACGCTGCATACTAACAGGGTCTGGCTGCAGGCACTTCACTGGGAGTCTGGGAAGGGCCTTGGTACTTTACTACTCCTGTTTTTGAAGAGCCTTGAATAGCTGCTGTAGACGGAGGGAAGCACTGTGTAAAGTTTTAACAGCTGGAGAGTCAAAAGAATAGCGAAGATTTGCTGGCTAGAGAAAAGCCCAACAGAGAAATCCTGATAACACAGAACTCCTCTCTGCACAGGGAGGGGCTCTGTACACTCCCAGCTCAGGCTAGGGATGGGGGGTTTAGAATTATTCCTTCACACTGCTGTGCTCCGAAAGATTTTAGTGGAAACTGGTACCAGGCGGACTTCTTACTCTCATCACGCACTACCCGTGGTAGGTTTGTTGTCCCACAGGTTTGCTGGCAGAGCCAGCCCATTGGGGTCCCCCACCCACTCCTGACTGGGCGAGGGGAGAAATGCAAACTCAGAAGACGATTTTGCATTTTCTTCTAAAGAGTTTCTAGCCTTGAAAATGCAGTAGACATAAATGGATCACTGAAGCTGAAAGCTTGTCACTTAATGCACAGAGATGTCCACCTTAAAAGCCCTTCTCTCCAGATTAACACTGCTCAGCGGCTGGCTGGTCTCTGAGAAGAATGAGGCTGGGCACTCATCTCCTATCCGGATAAGACAGACTTAGACGCCTTCACACTATGCCAAGGCAAGGCAGCTCAGGGAGGCTGCTACACTATTCCCCTCTGAAAGAAGCTGCTTTAAAAACTAATGTCAACATTTGATGCACAAGGAGTGTGGAAGCTACCTCCTCCTGGAGCAGCCCCCTTGCTCAGGCCCAGAGGACATGCCAGCCACTACCAAAGCTAAGTTCTGGTTCTCCACTCTCACAGACTCTTCCTCCCCATAGCCAGACACTCTCTCCTCCTCCTCCTCCCTGGGGACTTCACTGTGTCCTCAGATAAGCCCCAGGCCCTTGACCTACTCTTCATCCTGGACTCCCAGAGCCTGCGTGTCATTCTTCCACACATACCCTTGAGCTCACAGGTTCTCCTCTCTGTGCTCTCACATATTCCAGCCACTCCTATTTGTGGCTGAATGCTCTCTCCGCTGCCTCGCAGTCCTGCCTCACTGCTGTCTCAAGCTCCTAAGCTCACCAGGCTTTTCAGCCCAGATTTGCTGTCAGCCCCTTCTTTGCTGACTCTTCTTCTCCAGCCCCTGGAGCCGATACATGTAAGTGTCTCTTCTACCGCCTCTAGCCAACTGCCTCTATTAAAATCCACTTCCCCACACCTGAAGCAACCCTAGTTCAATCAGCTGCAGACATCCCAGCATACTGAAGTGACAAGTCCCAAGAAATGCTGCCCATGAGACAGCAACTCAAAGAACAACAGGCATGTCCCTATCCCCCATGAGTTGGGAGTCTCATCCCTGCCTCTCCTGATCCACTTTCCAGGCTGCAGAGCAACTTCTCCACCCTCCCTCCCTCCCTCCCCATGTGCTGGCAAGCCTCACTCCCTCTTCCAGGCCATTAACTCTCTTCCACCCACCCACTTCACCTGCCCCTCCCAGTCTCTCTCTGGCTAGAGATGAGTAACTCTCCTCCTCCTCATTCCCCCAGCTAATACTGAAATGATTTGCAGCAGCATCTCCTCCTCCAAGATCTACACTGACACTTCTTCCATTATCATCCAGTTTCTTAAGGAAACCACTTCCCCAGAGGTCCCTTTCTCCCCCATCTCCACAGATTTACTCCTGAGATTCCTAGCACTGGTAACTTCTCTTCTGGAGCAAAGTAGGTACCTTAAAAGCCCCGTGCCTAGCTACGAGATGCTGCTGCCACTTGACCGTTGATACTTTCACCTTAGCTCAGTGACCTCTTGACCAGGTAGAAATGAGTGTACATCTTATACGCATTAATCCTGCATCCTCCGCTTTCCCCCATCACTGGCATTGCTGAATGTTTTGAAGGGCTGGCGGGTCTCTGCACTCGCGCATGGATTTAAAGGTTTCCCTTCTCCAGTACAGATCCATGATTGGCTTGCATGGTATTTTTATTTGCTCGTCCACAATAGCGGAATTCACCACTAGCTTACAGCACAGGCATCAAAGTGCTGAAACTAAGGGCTTACTGCAGGATCCCAAGCCTGCTGCCCAGCCCCTCACCTGCTTCACACTCACTCTGATTTATCGCCTCACCCGCCTGGAGACCTGCTAAAATTCACAGAAAGAAGTCCCAATCTGCTGCACCTGTAAAGTCTGCCAGAGCAGGGCTTCTCTATGGAGAGCCTTCGCCCATTGGAAAAATGCTTTGTTCTGGAAGCAGAATTTGAAACTCTGTTTGAGAGGCAAGTTTGGCTGCAAGTCGCCTGCTTCTTCCTGTGATGTGGTGGGAGGGAACAGGGAGATGTGCTGGAGCAGGGTTGCCCTCTTGCTCTATACAGTACTCATTTAAATATCTATTGATAACTTCAAAACAGGAAAACTCTCCCCCCCCCACCAAAAACCCCCCCAGAGGAAACAAAACTTCTCTTAAGAAATGCACCTGAGCAACCTCACCTCTCTCAAAGCAATCAGTGACAAACTATGAAATCCCCAGTTAGGGCAACATTCAAATCCAGTCCAACTTCAGCCTACACGCCTTACCCCTCAAACACATTCATGGATGCATCACTAACCCAAACTCCCTTTTGCCTTCCACAAAAAGGATCACACACAATGCACGTCTCTTGTTCCATTCACCAACTAATCCATCCTCCAAATATTCAGGTAGTAACAACATGTGATGGATTGCTGACTTACAAGTATGTCTGCTGATAGTTCTGTATGAATGTTTCTGAGCATTACGATTAGTCACTTTGTCTCCTGAAAGAATTTAATCCAAATTAAGAAAAAAAATGGTTACGTGGCAAGAATGGATGTACTCATCCGTTCCATAACGGAGCGGTCCACCACTAAGGGGGAGAGAGCACAAGAGGAAGAACAGCCTTGAACAGAGCCTTACAAGTAACCCTAATGGGAAAGAAGGAGAAGAAACACACAGTAGGGAGCACATTGTAGAGCTGGCTTCTCCCTCCTCCTGGCTGTATAACCAAAAGAGAGCTGACGTTCTACCTCAACAAGGAGCGGGGTGGTTGTTTGGGGTTTGTTTTGTTGTTTTTTTAAAACCATTCTAGGTTTCTTCTACATCCGTAGCAACCAACATTATTTGCCATTTTGGGTCACTGAAGGAAGCTTGCGAGCGATGCTATTTATGCTCTCATACTTCATCACTTGGTCCTAGGAATGCAGGACTGCAGCTTCTCACCAACCTGACTGGGGAACTGCTCAATATTAATTTGGTTGCTTCTGATTGTTGATGGCCACCTTTGTGTTTGAAGACATGAGACTTGTGTTCTTCTGTACAGCACTGTGGGATCCAAGGATCAAGACTGCTGTACAAGAGGCAATGATTAACTCATGTGACTGGTGTTGGTGTCCCCTTGCTTCCTTCTAGCCAGGAGGAACTAAGGTGGGAAATTATTTTTAAAACTGAACACACCAAAAAAGGGGGAAAATCCAGCATGGGAAAGGAGTGGGGACCAACAGGCTGAGACTAAAATGGAGTGGAGTCCACGGATCACTAAATGGGAGTCCCCAAGGCTCCCAGCTTCAGACTACTCCAGCTTCAGACTCTGTTTCAATTACACCTTCGTTTAGGCATAATAAGTGGTAACACGGGGTCTTCAGAAAGAACAACTACTATCAGTACAGATGTTGCTTGAGCCGTTTATAAATTTAATGTGTTTATCTTTGGGGGTGGGGGAGCTTATAAATTAATACTCTGTTTTGATGACATACAGCCCCACTGAATTGCTGACTTTTTACCCTTCCTCCTCTCTCTAACTTTAAACAAGTTAACAACCTCTAATTCCCAGGCTAGAGCTATAGTACAACACATTTCAATTTTCTCAAGAACAGCACATAGCAAAGACTTAAGCACACACTCTCCTAATCAGACTGTATTAGATTGAGATGGAAGTGGGGAGAGTCTTGCCTGAAAAAGTAAATTAATGGAAAAAATAAGCATGCCTCCTTAGACGGCGAGTAAAATGCTTCCTGGAGGCTGAATCTCTATCTCCAGAGCCCAAGACAACCACACTGTTTGAACACCGAATGAGATCAATCTTACCAAAACATTCATATCTGCCTGAGTTCCTGCTCATTCCAGAAACACTGTGTGTTAATATGCTACATTATTTGTTATAGCAAGTTACTCTGTATTGACACTACTCCAGATGTGTCTCTCTTAGCAGCACCAGCACCCAGGGCAAAGGACGCTCTGAGTAGCACTTTTAATATAGAATGTAGTGTTTGCATATGTTAGATCTTCCCCTGCTGCCAGTAAAGGTGTTACAATAGTGAGAAACTCAAACTTCCTCTAGTACCTTCTCCATATCTCTCAAATCCACCACTCTTCTCCCCATGCTTAATTGAACTCCAATGTCAATTTATCCCAGCTCTTGCCTCTCTCCCCCAAGCAAACTGCAAGCTCTCTTCCACCACTCAGTTCACCTCTCAGTAACATTTTGGACCATGCCAAGGAAACTTCTGTTCCATTCAGGCTTCCTTCTTTCTGCTAGCTATGTCTTCTCCTCTCCACTGTCCTTGCTCTCAATGCAGGCTTCACTAGTGTAATCTAGCCCATCTGCATAGGTGGCTCTGGCATATCTAACTGCGCTCCCCCTCAAGTCTCTATTTCTACAGAGCGCCACAGGGTTCAGTTCTCACCCTCTGTCTTTTCCAACTACCTTCCCACCTCAATCAGCCTGTCTTTACCTTTGACATTGACTACCACGTTTAAGCACATTAAGTTCCTTATTCAGAAAAGCTGTTGAAGAGACAATTTGAAAGAAAGATGCCATACAAGAGAGAGTTGTATAGGTGTGATGCTTTGCAAGATGAATGCCTTACCTCCTCTGAATTCTCTGCCCCGCCATCCTTCCCACCACCACTGCTGCTGCTGGGCTTTGTGGTGCTTTTAGCAGACTTTGGAGGCTCCTGGGACAATGAGAAGAGAGCATATTCAGTTGCACTGGGTTTGGAAAAGATTTAATTCTGTTCAGTTAGACACAAGTTTCTGTGGGCTTGGCTACACTTCCCCACTGTTCAGACCACAGGGGTGCAAAGAGCAGTGTCTTGTGCACCAAAGTGCTGCCCTATAAATCCCCTGCATGGACTTTGCGGGGGCAAACTAAAAGGTTCCTAGTTCACTTTAATATAGTCCTCTTCAAACAGGGCTACGTTAAGGCGAACTAGGAACCTCTTAATTTGCACCTGCTACATCTACACAGAAGAGCTATAGCGTAGTACTTCAGTGCACAAGGCACTGCTATTCACACTCCCATAGTCTGAACGGCAGGGCAGTGTAGACATTGCCTATATCTGCTTCACTCTTTCACAGACTGCCACGGAGACACCACCCCAGCAATAATCCACGATCCATGTCTCTTAAAATGGGGGCTCCCAGAGATACTTCCTCCCCTTCACATTGGAGAACTCTGCACCCAACTAAGGCTGGGGCATCCCAACTGTCCAACCATTACATACATCATATCCTCTTCCCAGCCAATTTGACTCGGTAACCCACCCCCTGCAGTGTGGAAAGCTGGCAGTTAACCTCCCAAACAGAATCAGGCTACAAGAATGCTATCACACTCCCAAAGATTCCCTCAGAAGACCTGGGGCCTGTCCATGGCCCACCACAGATGGATGATGGGGAATGCAATGCCAGGACAGGACAGCAGCTGGGGAATTAGTTTAGATGGTTACAGAACAAACGTTCCTGATACAACATGTGGCTAAAACACCAGCCCTACGAGAGGGCATCTAACAGCAAAAAAGGTACAAAGAATTAGTCAACACGGGACTCACAAAAGGGTTGCAATTAAGCCATGAGTGCACCAGGTACAATGGGAAGGAAAGGGACTAAAGAGTGCTTGTGGGGGAAGAAACAGAGCACTGGGGAGAAGAGGGTGGGGGACAGGAAAAGAGGTGGGAGAGCTGGGGTTGGAGAGAAGTGGGAGAAAGAGGAAGTAGGGGGGAGAGAGAAGCCAGAGCCAGATAAACAACAGACGTGCAGCAGCCAGGAATGTGAGCGAGGCTAGTGCACCCAGAGGACGGGCTTAGAGTGCAGCACTCTAGCCTGCTGCCTGCAGACACCAGTGCAACACGCATGGACAGTGTTTTCACTGTGTGTGGCCAATCTGTGCTGTGGTCCATGGCAATGTATGTATCAGATGCATCGTGTATGCACAGGCCATGGCAGCATGTTCCAGGTGGGTTTCCACACCATGACCTGTGAGTGAGCACGGTGTGGGTGATATGACCCTGGGTTATGGCAACATGTTCACCGAACATGTCCTGCCCACACACTGCTTGCTATGGCACTGCATGCAATGCTGCAGCCCGACAAGTGCCTGAGCCTTGTCACCACTAGCATCGAGGCCACGTGTGTGTCTGCACGACGCAGGGATTGCACCATGCCGCTGGAGCTGTTGCCTCTTTTTGCACCAAATGTGCCTGGACTGTGTCAGAGTTCACAGGCAGGTGCTGATTTATACCTGTACTGCAGGCCTGGGGCCCCTCATGTCTGCGCCATAGTGCTATGCTATTGCCCACGTACTCCTGCCTGGGGCACCGCTGCCCCCCCCCGCACCATGGCACCTTGTTACTGACCCCCTATCAGGGCAGCACTGCGGGACCCACTGCCCCCCACCCTCTCTTCTCCCTGGACTACAGCCTCCATACTTCTTTACCCACAGACCCCTCTGCCCCGGCACTCTCCACCCTCCTACCCCATAGCTCATTCCAGGCTCTAGCCCCACAGACCCCTCTGCCCCTGGGACCTCTGTCCCACAGCCCCATAGTCCCCTCTGCCCCCGCATTCTCCACCCCGCGGCCCCATAGCCCCCTCCAGCCCCACAACCCATGCCCCATAGCCCCCGTGCCCCCAGTCCCATAGCCCCCTCCGCCTACCCGCCCCATAGGCCCCTCTGCTCCCACATTCTCCACCCTTCTGCCCCATAGCCCCCCAGCCCATGCCCCATAGCCCCCGTGCCCCTTCACCCCATAGTCCCCTCCAGCAACACAACCCATACCCTATAGCCCCCGTGCCCCTCCGCCCTGGCACCTCCACCTACCCGCCCCACAGGCTCCTCTGCCCCCACACTCTCCACCCCTCTGCCCAATAGCCCCCCACAGCCCATGCGCCCCTCCGCCCCCAGCCCCATAGCCCCCTCCAGCCCCCATGCCCCATAGCCCCCGTGCCCCTCCAGCCCCACAGCCCCCGTGCCCCTCCAGTGCCCCATAGCCCCCGTGCCCCTCCAGCCCCACAGCCCGTGCCCCATAGCCCCCGTGCCCCTCCAGCCCCACAGCCCGTGCCCCATAGCCCCCGTGCCCCCCCCCACAGCCGCCCTGCCCCCGTGCCCCTCCAGCCCCACAGCCCGTGCCCCATAGCCCCCGTGCCCCTCCAGCCCCACAGCCCGTGCCCCATAGCCCCCGTGCCCCTCCAGCCCCACAGCCCGTGCCCCATAGCCCCCGTGCCCCTCCAGCCCCACAGCCCGTGCCCCATAGCCCCCGTGCCCCTCCGCCCCCGGAGGGTGCAGCCCAGGCCCCGGCGCACGGCCGGCCCCTTTCCCTGTCCTGGCGGGAGGCCGGGCCGGGGCAGGCCGCGGGGGGCCTGGAGGGAGGGAGTCGCGCTGCCCGCCGGCCCCACCTTCTCCTTCTTCAGCTTGTAGGGCATCCCGGCTCCGCTCGGCCCGCTCGCCGCCGCCGCCGCCTCAGCCGGGCCCAGCCGCCTCCCCGGCCCAAACCTGCCTAGCAACAGCCTCGCCGGCCGCACGTCACTGGCCGGCGCCGCCGGCACGGAATTTCCTCATTGGTCCTCTGCCGCGCTGCCTACGCCTGCAGCCGCCGCGGCCGATTGGCTGGAGCGCGACCCCGCCCCCAGCGGTCCCATCCTGGCCCCCCCCTCCCTGGCGCTGGAAGGGCGGGGCCGGGGCACGGAGAGGGGCCCAGAACAGCCCGCCACACCTCCCGGGCAGGGCCACGTGGCGCCATGGGAGGAGGCGCCCGGCCGCGCCGCCTAGCGGGCGGGAGGGGAACAGATCTGTGGCTGGGCCCGCAGGGAAGGGGACAGGCTCTCCCAGGCGAGCAGGCCTGGCTCTACCCAGGTGGCAGGGACAGACCTCCAGGAGGCAGGGGGGCGCTGGCAGGGCACAGCACGGCCCCCTCTGCAGCCCCAGACTATTCTGCCCGCCACATGGCTGCTGACCCTTGGCAGGGCTGAGTGACCACGCTACCTACGCGAGGAGGACGTGTGGCACCTTAGAGACTAACCCATTTACTTGAGCATAAGCTGTCGTGAGCTGTAGCTGTAGGTCATGACAGCTTATGCTCAAATAAATGGGTTAATCTCTAAGGTGCCACACGTCCTCCTGTTCTTTTTGCGGATACAGACTAAAACAGCTGCTACTCTGAAAGCTACCTACCAGCTAGGTGCTCCCCCTCCCCACGGGTCTGTGGTTGGGTCCATGGGGGAAGCTCTCCCGTCCACCTGGTGCTGTCCACACCGGTGGTTAGGTCACTGTCACTGCATTGCTCAGGGAGGTGGATTTTCCCACGGTTATCCCCACATATGTTGGTAGTGCAGACAGGGGCTCAGCTGCCGGTGTGGGATCGCGAGCCAGCAGCATTAGGTGACTTATACCTTGGTGCCGCAGGATCACTGGCCTCCATGTTTACCTTGAGCAGCAAATGTGTGAAAGCCACAGCTGGCCTTATCCACACTAGGATTGTCATGTATGTTTGCCAACACTTGTTCCAAACTCACCTTTTTCCCTAGAATAGTCATCCACATCTGACAGGCTCCCCCAAGACAGGCTGGGTAACCTCACCTACCTTTATTCTGAATCAGATACATTTTGACTTGTTTTTACTGCTGTAAGAGGGCACCTTTATATGTCCATTTAGCTGCCCACCAATGTCCATCACAAGTAGGATCGCACTGGTAGTCTCCTGCTGCATGAAGGAAAGGTGGTTTTTTTAAAACCATGTATTAACTAATACAAGTACAATCCTAGTGAAATCAAGGCAGCTGTGGCTTTAACACACATTAGCAGATTGAGGTAAAGACTAGGAATTTTGATTTGCTAACATGTTAAAGCTACAACTGCCGTACATTCACCTGCCTCAAAAACACACCTGTCCAATCTTTTTTAGTATTAATATCTGATAGACATGCCTGATTTGTTAAATGAGTGCAATCAGGGATTTCACTTGAATTAATAAAATCCCCAGAAACAACATGTTATGTGAAGTGTAAAGATGCTCACTTTGTAATATGGTAACACCCTGTTAAACAGAGAGACCTCATGATTATATTACAGTATAATGTTTCTCTAAACAAAAGTTTATTTTAAAATCCATTAACATTTCCTAAATAATTAGTAAAACAAGCAAACCACAAAACCTACCACTGGCTTGAATTCTCTAGGATTTTTCCATGTGTCAATTACCATGTAGCATGTAGCATGCTAGCATGTAGTAAAAACTTAACTTTTTTCCTTAGTGAAGACAGGGTCTTAATGTCTTGAGAGAGAATCTGATGTCCATGGAATGTTTGGTATATGAGTTGGTTGTGTCAGGATTACTGACCATATAAATTTCCTTATGGAAAGGCAGGCAGCAGGAAATTATTCAGGAATTCTAGGCCATAAAGAAACTTCATTGCAGGCAAAACAGCATCTGATCATGCAGATCTGTAGGAATGCTTTAATTCAGGTGTTGCCGCTGTTCAGCACTAAAGACACAGCAACAACTGCTCAATTCATTAAAATATTTTATAATATAGAACTATTTTCTGTGTGAGTTCATTGGTGAGCGTAGTGGTTGTCTGGTTTCACTCAGATAGTATGCCCTTGAATTAACTCACACAGAAAAGTGATAAAAGACACAAACACCCTATCACTCATGGAAGAACACTTTTCACAAAGAGAGAAGGGGAGTATGAGGCTGGCTGACTGAAGAGAAGGGAGGGAAAATATTTGGGGGGGGGGGTTACAGATCCACACCCTTCCCCTTTATATCTTTGTGGGTTAATGAGTCCCCCTGTCTCAGGGAATCAGCAGAACCCACTTAACAATGCCCAGTTGGACCAACATCTGCTAATTGGGTGGGTGTTTCAGGCAAACTGCTGACCCCACCATATCAGTCTCTGATTACTTTCTCCAAAACAAAGAAGAGATGCTTTGGGTTCCACAGGCATCTCTCTCCCTGGACACAAGCAGCCACTGGCCATTGCTGCATCACATCTGCTTGAGGCCAGCTTGGGAAGCCAAGCAGCTACTTAATCTGAAAGAGCAGGCAGTGACGATGAGTAAACAGATTTGGGGATGTTGGAGTGCTAGGGCGGAGAAGGAAACCCATGAAAATGCGGTCTCACTCTGCAGGAGTCAGAGAACCAGTACGTCTCACCTATCAAGGATGGCTGGCAGAGGAGAAAGATTCTCTGCATGCACCTAGCATAAATAGGATAGCAACTAGCTTCCATTATAAAGCCTAGCTTAGCACCCCATCACTTGCACAAGGCCTCCTCATTCAAACTCTTTTCTGCAGTTGGTGCTACAGACAAAGGGGTAACCGGCTTGGCAGCTAGTGAGTTGGGACAGCTGCTTCTTATGCCTCACTATTTCCTTCCACTGACTCACCCCATGTGTCTATTACATCCCTCTGTCATCCTGATTCCCACTAGACTGGCTGCTGTGTTAGGGCCACGCACAGCACAACGGGACCTGTGTCTTCGTCCAGCGTCTGTGCAGCGCCTAGCGCAATGGGACCTGTGTCTTCGTCCAGTATCTGTGCAGCGCCTAGCGCAATGGGACCTGTGTCTTTGCCCTGTGTTTGTGCAGCGCCTAGCGCAATGGGACCTGTGTCTTCGTCCAGTGTGTGTGCAGCGCCTAGCGCAATGGGACCTGTGTCTTTGCCCTGTGTCTGTGCAGCGCCTAGTGCAATGGGACCTGTGTCTTTGCCCTGTGTCTGTGCAGCGCCTAGCGCAATGGGACCTGTGTCTTTGCCCTGTGTTTGTGCAGCGCCTAGCGCAATGGGACCTGTGTCTTCGTCCAGTGTCTGTGCAGCGCCTAGCGCAATGGGGCCCTGGTCCCTGACCAGACACTGCTGACATGCTCTGCGCTCGCTCTCTACGGTAGACAGGCGCTGCTCTGTGCTCGCTCTTCCTGATCCTGGCTCTGAAGGGCCGCCCTGCTCTCGCTCTCTATGGTGCAGAGGCAGCGCTCTGCACGCGCTCTCCATGGTCCTGGCTCTGGCTCCGCTCGCTCTCCGTGCTCCCGGCTCTGGCGCGGCGCTCTGCGCTCGCTCTCTATGGTACACAGGCACCGCTCTGCGCTCGCTCTCTATGGTCCTAGCTCTGGCGCGGCGCTCTGCGCTCGCTCTCTATGGTACACAGGCACCGCTCTGCGCTCGCTCTCTATGGTCCTGGCTCTGGCGCGGGCTCTGCGCTCGCTCTCCAGTAGAGAGGCACCGCTCTGCGCTCGCCTCCATGTCCCGGCTCTGGCGGCCGTCTCCTCGCTCTACAGTGTTATGACACCACTCTGTGTCCTCTCCATGGTCTGGGTATGGTAGGGGTCTGTGTGTTTATGGTAGAGACGCACTGCTCTGCGCTCGCTCTCTATGGTCCTGGCTCTAGCGAGGCGCTCTGCGCTCGCTCTCTATGGTACACAGGCACCGCTCTGCGCTCGCTCTCTATGGTCCTGGCTCTAGCGAGGCGCTCTGCGGTCGCTCTCTATGGTACACAGGCACCGCTCTGCGCTCGCTCTCTATGGTCCTGGCTCTAGCGAGGCGCTCTGCGCTCGCTCTCTATGGTAGAGAGGCACCGCTCTGCGCTCGCTCTCCATGTCCCGGCTCTGGCGCGCCGCTCTGCGCTCGCTCTCTACAATGTTAAGGCACCACTCTGTGCTCGCTCTCCATGGTCCTGGGTATGGTAGGGCGCTCTGTGCTCGCTCTCTATGGTAGAGAAGGGCCGCTCTGTGATTGCTCGCCATCATCTTGGGTCTGGCGCGGCGCTCTGCGCTCGCTCTCTATGGCCCCAATGCGCCGCTCTGCGCTGGCTCTCCATGGTGCCGGGGCGCCGCTCTGCACTTGCTCTCTATGGTCGTAGCTCTGAAGGGCCGCTCTGCGCTCGCTCCCTATGGTAGATAAGGGGTTGCTCTGCGCTCGCTCGCCATTGTCCTGGATCTGGCAGGGCGCTCTGTTCTTGCTCTCTATGGTAGAGAGGGGCCGCTCTGTGCTCCCTCTCTATGGTACACAGGGGCCGCTCGGTGGTCGCTCGCCGTTGTCTGGGGTCTGGCGGGGCACTCTGCGTTTGCTCTCTATGGTGCCCCGCTCTGCACTCACCCGCCATGGTCCTGGCTCTGAAGGGCCGCTCTGCGCTCGCTCTCGATGGTGCGAGGCGCCGCTCTACGCTCCTCCTCTATGGTCCTGGCTCTGGCGGGGCGCTCTGCGCTCGCTCTCTGTGGTGCCGAGGGGCCGCTCTGCGCTCGCTCTCTATGGTAGATAACGGGTCGCTCTCCCTGGTCCTGGCTCTGAAGGGCCGCTCTGCGCTCGCTCTCTGTGGTCCCGAGGGGCCGCTCTGGGCGGGCTCTATGGCGCTGGCGGTGGTGCGGCCGCTGGAGGCCCTGCCCGCGGAGCTGCCCCCGGGCGTGGCGGTGCTGCTGGCCCCGGCCCCGCTGGCGGCGCGGCTGCGCGGGGCGGGCGGGCCGGCGCTGGTGCTGGCGGTGCGGCCCGCGGGCCGGCCCGGGGCCCAGCCGGCGCTGCTGAGCGCGGCGGTGGCGGGCGGGCCGGGCCGCGGCGCCGAGC